ACTCGCTACAATATTACACGCCAGATGCATTGTGCTTGTTAATGTCATAACAGGAATGTTGCTAAGTGGCGACATGCATGTTCTATACACATTGGATCATGTTTAAAGGGATAGTTCACACAAAATATGGAAATTCTGTCATTATTTACTTTCCCTCATGTTATTCCAAATACTTGTACTGTTATTTTTTGTAGAATACAAAGAGATTTTCACACAACTCTTTTCCATACAGTGACAGTTCACAGTGACAAGTCTGTCAAGCTCCAAAAAAGGACAGGAAAGCACCATTAAAGTAGTATGACATCCATGTGTTATATTCCAAGTCTTCTGAGGCCATATGATGATCTCCCATCACAACCATGATATATTTTTGTATATTTCTGAATAAGTACTTACATTTTGGGTTGTTCCTCAAACAAATCGATATTATGGCGTCAGAAGAGTCAATACATCATCTCCACCAGGAATATTATCATGAACTAAAATTAAAACCATAAAAATAACTAAAATCATTACTTGAAATAAAATAAACATGAACTGAAATTAAATTGAACTATTTACATTACATTGTGACTTTAACTGGAAAGTAACATTTTAAGTTACTTCAGTTTTATCTTGACTTTTTTTTTATTTTCTTTTTTTTTTTTACATTAGAAGTGCTAATTTTGGTAAAACACAAAGCCAATCATGTTCACACACACAAACAAAACTTGCTTGTAAATCTTATATCTACCCTTATTTCTCCAAACATAACATTTTTTAAAACTATCAATGTATTTATATATTTATTTTGTTTCATAAAATGTTACTTAGTTGACAAAGTAACTGGATATATTGTTATTTAACAAATAACACATTATCAATGGCATAGCATCTCTTGAAAAATTATCTAGTTAATGCCCACCAATTTTTTTTTAACATGTTTCTCCCAACACTTTTTTTTCTTCTTTTTTGGAAAGACTAGTCTATGAATATTGTATGAAAGAAGCAAGTGCATATTTTTCCAAAATTCTCTATGTTCCATAAAAATGAAAAATTACCATACGAGTTTGAAATGGCATGAGGGCGAGTAAATAATGTCTGAATTTTCAGTTTTGAGTGAACTATTTCTTTAAAGTTAAATGAGAGTGAATGTAAGAGAGAGAAAATGAAGTAACAGGCAAAAGAAAATAAATCTTGCAAGGTCTGAGAGGCAGCAGGGTGGATGTATGTGACCTTTTAAGAAATGTCCTCTGAACATGCTCCTCTACTATCTAGTTTTGCCCTTTGAGCTTGTATTGTCTTGTAGGGGAATGTTTTTTTTTTTGGTTCTACCCCTGAAACTTGGGAGGTAATGACACATAGTGTCTGTCTCTTAGTATGTGTGTTATAGGGAGTGGTTCCAGCTGGTTCTATGTTCACTTGCAGCTTTTGCGAGTCAGTTTGAGTGTGTAATGCTTTGTGACAGCTCACACTACTCTGTCATCCTTTTTGAATCCAGTATTCCATCTTATTCTTACTGATTTATTATTAAAACCCAGTGTGAACTTACGTATGTAAAATCTTGTACTCGTTCTTACTGGCGCATGTCCCATCATGCAGTGGTGAGAACATCTAGTGTTACTCTTGGCAGTGTGTTCATTACACCAGATGTCTGAATCAAGAGTTGTGTTCCAAAACCCATTGAGATGCCTACCTAGGGAACATCTTTAGGCATCATAGGTGTGCTTCTGACACAAAGGCTGTTCAAAAAGTTCTAGCAAAATTATGCGCCGCAGAACATTACTAGTTTGGGTCAAACTCTTAGGCAGGATTGCATGTAGGTGTGCTTTAAATATGGATCCGATATCTTTTTTTTAAAAAAAGCTTAAAGTGAAATCAAAATTTTTGTTTTTTGGGTGTTAGTATCAATATGTTAGTCTTAAGGTTATCTATAAGGCAGTGTGCTCCAAAACAGTGACAAAATTCGCATTTAGAAGATATAAGCATTCAAAGCTTGCAGTTCGTCACTTCCGCCAAAACGACTCAACGATTTTTTTGACGTCACATCGTACTTCAGCTTCTCATAAAACTTTCTGTCCAATCAAATCCGAAGCGCCCGCCCCCTACACTATAAAAATCAACACATAGAGTAACGCTGCGTGTTTCTAAGCATTTCAGGGGACCTTTAAATATCTGAGAAAAATATCAGTAATGCCATTATCATTCTACACGTGAAAGACTATTAACAAAGTTGTTTCCATTTCAGTCTCTTAACATATTCCATTTAGACTAGGATGCTGACTTAGAAAGCAGCTGCTTACTGTATGTAAACAGTAGGCGGTGAGGCAGATCAATAAGGTTTGAAACAGAGCCAAGAACATCCCATTTACAAATCCAAGCTCAGCGATTCCCTGAAGGTATGAAGGTGGCATGTTGTGATGGATGGCATGTTCTACTCTTAATAGGCGAGAGGAAGAAAAGACAGCAGCTCAAAGTGACAGCTCTGTGGAGATGGACAGCAGATCTACAAGCCATTACCTATAGCGATAAGGAGACAGTTTGGAGAGCTGAGGTAATACAGGAGGGAAAAGGAAGCTAAATGCCCACTAGGGAGACCTCAGTGGCAGAGGTGCGATTTTCCAGGTGTTTCCGATTGGACAGCAGTAGGTGTCCTCCCCCTTCTCCCCTTGAAGACACCCGCTTGCGTTTTATTCAACCTCTGATCTTGAGAAAAGCCAGGCCTATTAGACATTAATGCTCTCAGTGAAGGTTTTAGGAAAGTACTGTGGTTGTGGATCAGCGCTGAAGTGGTGATGCTGTCTGTCGGTACGAGAGGTGAAGGGCGCTGCATTATTGATGGGACTCATTCAGCTTGACTGAGCAGACTCACATCTCAAACAGATTATTGACCAGCACCCTGGAGTCTCAGAGCTGGTGCATGGCATGAGATGATATACATGCTCACTCAACACATCGGTGGATAACCTTGTTATGCGCTCTCAGTGCTTGGGCGAAGCATAAGGCCACAGATCAAACCTTATACTGGATTAAATTCCTGTGTTTATCTCAGTTAGAAGCTATGACTAGACTTAAGCATTTTCTTGTGTAGTACATGGTTTTTCAGGGCACTGCTCTGCATTTATAAGGTGTTATGAGGGGTTTAGTTTGTTGCTGTCACGCTTGGGCAAAACTGGTCCCCATTGACTTCCATAGTATGTTTTTATTTATTTACTTATTTTGTCCATACTATGGAAATCAAAGGAGATCAGCGACTGTTTGATGACCCATGTTCTTCACAGTATAATCTTTTGTGTTCAGCAGAAGATAGAAACTCATACAGGTTTGGAACTACTTGAGTGTGAGTAAATTATTCATTTTGAGGTGAATTATCCCTTTGAAATTTTAGCTCCCTTTCAAATCATGAATTTTATTTGAATTGGCCACACCCCATAAGATGTTGAATTGGAATGACAGGAAGAGAAATTTAATTCAAAAGATTCAACACAGGTAATGCCTTCTGGAAGTGTTAATTTATTTCATAACTGAAAAATGAAAACTCAATGCAGATTTCTATATGTCACGTTTCAAACATTACAAAGTTTTTTTTTTTTGACAAACTTAGAATTTCTAGTTTTTCTTTGCATTTAATTGATTTTCATTTTGTTTTCTTATATAAGCAAGCATTAGTCATATATTTGAATGTTGAGCAGCGAGCTCATTGGCTACCGATACAGGAGAGAACCAATCAGCTGTGCCATGTGATAATGATGTCATTAGGTCAGATTGAGTTAGACCTATCGGACTGCGCCATCTAGAGTTTCATGCCAGAACTCTGTATATCTTAAACGCAGTAGATGCAACCGAGTTAATTTTTAATGCCAAAAAAGAAAGGAAAATGGTTATTTTAGTGTACATTCCACAGTAAATTTCTAACTTCTGTGACTGATTTGTGTGCAAGAAACACTGACTATAATTGTGACCTCAGGGGAAAAAGTGCTACAGAAGTGGATGATGCGCTGTTGTTTTTATGGGATGTGGGAAAAATCACATTACATCCTGTTGCCCTTTGCTGCAATGTTTTCTTTAGTTAGGAATCATGGCTAATTTATCCACATAGAATCTGTAGCCATTAGAATTGAACCCTGTAAGTGGAATGTTCCAGTGTTTACTATAAGTGAGATTGCAGTGTTCTCTGTATCCTCCCTGAGCGCTGCATTCTGTATGATATGTGAGATTCAAAGAGCCAGAAGTTACAGAAATTTTATTTTTGTCTGCTCTTGACCTTGTTAGGTCAAAAAGTGGGCAGAAAATGAACACAAATTGTTTGATGCAACTCTATGATGCACAAAAAGCAGAAATGGAAGAAATTCATCCTCATGGCCTTTCTTGATAGATGGTCAATGAAAAATTTACCAAAACAGCAGTCAAAAGTGCAAAGTTAGTATTCCTCCCTGCCACATTGTGAATGCCTACGTATTTCTTATTTGACAAATCTTATGCTCTTAAGCTTGAAAGAGCCATTTTCCAATCCTGCGTTTTTCCAAATAGAAGATTAAGGAACAAGTCATGAGAAAACCTTTTCAGACCCAACAAAAGCTCTCTGACAAAGAAAACTCTATCACCTCTTTTAAGGCATGATGAAATTGCTTTTCTCTGCAGTCTCATTACCGTTTTTGATTGAGTTGCTTAGCATTTCCTGCTCAAGTCCTTTCCACCCACTCTTGATGACTGAGATGTACATTTAGCACTCCAAACGAGAACTCATTTACTGTCAGCACGGAGTGAAGATTATGTATTTGCCTTTTTATACAGACTCCCATAAGGTTGTGTTGAAAAGAGGATACACCTTTGACTCAAGTGGCTTTGATTTTAGTTTGATTTCATCTCTTAGTTAGCTTTCATGTGTTTCTGTAGTCTTTGATTGAATGTCATAGCTTAAGATATTTTATGCACCATGATAGGTTTGTTAAACTGTTCTGCAGGAGATACATGTGATTGTGTACACTTTCATGGTTCAAATCTCTCTCTCTTTTTTTTAGACCTCTCGGCAGCCGTGCAGAAGTTCTCCCAGTCGTTACAGGAGTTCCAGTTTGAGTGTATTGGTGACGCAGAAACGGATGATGAAGTCAACATTGGTAAGTGTGGCGTCAACTGCTGATTTGTGGTCTGCTGCTTCTAATACTGATTCAGTCTCGTAGATGTATATGACAAATCACAAATGGGATTCCTTTAAAGGGTTAGTTCACCCAAAAATGAAAATTAGCCCGTAAATTACTCACCCTCAAGTCATCCTAGGTGTATATGACTTTCTTCTTTCAGACGAATCCAGTTGGAGTTATATTAAAAATAGTCTTTGATCTTTCAAGCTGTTTAATGCCACTCAGCGGGTGTTGCATGCATCAGTCCAAAAGAAGTTAAATAAAAAGCGCCCATCCATAAAAAAAAAGTGTCTTTTCTAAGGCATTGTTAGATGCCAGTGTTTCCTGTCATAGCTATGCAAAGATTTGATTTCAAAAACAAACAAAAAAATCTTGTTATGATTTTAAATCAGTATTTAACCTCACAACGATCTCAAAGTAAAAAGAGGTGCTAAAGTTTGATTTTGTGGTGGCTGTGCTTTAAAATATTTTTTTTATAGTCTTAATTTAAGTGATGAAGGATTTTGAAAGTCTTACAGTAATGAGTTTTGGGTACTACTGTAAGATTAGCCCTGCCTGGTTTAAATGTTTGAAAATGAATAATGAGAAATTTAGAAAGGTAATAAAATGTAATCAGTTACATTACTTTAAGTAATTGAAAAAGTTACACTACTTAATACATGTCAAATAGGGTAACTTGTAATCTGTAACCTGTTACATTTCCAAAGTAACCTTTCCAATGCCGGTGAACATTAAATTAACATTAACAGATGCTCAGACACTTCTCATCAAATACAAATATTCAAATCAAATATTAGTTTCTTTAAGACTGAATTATAACGGCTATGCTATCCACACTCAATTTGTTTTTCTCTAAACTCTTACTGTACGTCAACAGTTGTCTCATCTGTGTCTATTTTTATTTCTCATAAGGAGTTTTAGCAGAACATCTGAGAAAGTTGATTCCTAACCAAGAAGTCCATTAACTCGCCTAAGCTATGAAAAAGCAATATCTGAGCGATAAAATGTTCCTTCAAACCCATTAAAAAGGATCTGCTTAACCATTCTAAGATCATCTTAATGGAAAGTTCTCCTAATGTTCTGAGGAATAGTTTCCTTCCTTGATCCCAAATGTCCCGCACACTGTCCCAGATGGCTGGGATTGTCATTTTAATCAAGACCTATCCATGGAAATTCCATATGAGTTCCTTGGAAGAGTCACCCAGAGTTTTCTTTTTTCTAGCCTCTTTTTTTCTTCCACTCCGACTCTTTGCCTTTCGGCTATTGATTACAATCTTTAGCACGTGAGCAGTCACAGAAGGACTTACAATTCATCGTTTTGATTAGTAAAGGCATTCTCGTATGAAAGCAAGCATCGGGCATGCTGATATCCTGTCCCAGTCCAGATTTAGCTCAACAGCTCAAGGCAGGTCTCAGTGAGATTGCCTGCCCGGCATGCATAATGTATTGTATTGATTTGCTTATATTCCAGACAAAAAGGTCTCAGCTCAGCCCTTTAAGAGATCAGAGTAACTAATTGTGATTTGTGTCAGAGATTAAGGAAAATGCAGACGGCTCACCCTCGGTGGGCACTGAGCAGATGTGCTGAGAGTTCATACGCCCTGATGGGTTGATCACTCATTCTGTTCTGTCTCTTTTTGCAGTCATTCATCTCTTTCTATCCTTCTCTCGTTCCTGCGTTCTCCCCTTATGTGTCATTACTTTGTTTATTATCTTCCTGTCCTGCTCTGTGCATTGTGTGCTGGCTTGACACTCAGACCATCTGCATCTAACAGTTGGCTTCCAGACTTTTCGTACTCTCAGTCGCACAAGCAACCTGTCGTTTAGCCTGCAACCTTTTCCTCTTCTTTTCCCAAGCAATCTGATGGGAAAAAAATCTAATTAAATGTGTTGAGGTGTGGCAAAGCAAGCTCATAATGGAATTCAATTTGGCTTTTTCCTATCTCCGTCTGGTCGCCCCAATAGGAATGGGGTGAATTTTTGCAGTTTTTTCCCCTGTTTGTATGATTAAAAGGAATGTTGGGCGAGCCGGCCATAGTGGGGATGTTTTGGAAGGTAGCAACACAAAGGAGTCTTTATGGCTGTTTATCTAATGGACCGCTTTAATGGACAGAAACGTTGATAGGTAGGAAATGATAGGGCTACGGCTATTGATTTACACGTGTAATGTGGCGGATGATTTTGGTTTGCATTCCATGGACAAGTGAATGTTGATGAAACCTGTGGCTGCATGTTAATGCCATCTCTTTGACATGAATCCAGCATTTTGTTCAAAGGCCATTCAGTGATACTATGATACATACTGTGAACAAAAATGGCAGGCACTACAATACTTTTGGTGTAGAAACAACATATATATGTGACCCTGGACCACAAAACCAGTCATAAGGGTCCATTTTTTTTTAAAATTGAGATTCATACATCATCAGAAATCTGAATAAATAAGCTTTCCATTGATGTATGGTTTGTTAGGATAGAACAATATTTGGCCGAGATACAACTTGAAAATCTGCAATCTGAGGGTGCAAAAAAATCTAAATATTGAGAAAATCACCTTTAAAATTGTCCAAATGAAGTTCTTAGCAATGCATATTACTAATCAAAAATTAAGTTTTGATATATTTACGGTAGGAAAATGACAAAATATCTTCATGGAACATAATCTTTACTTAATATCCTAATGATTTTTGGCATAAAAACAAAATCGATAATTTTGACCCATACAGTGTTTTGTTGGCTATTGCTACAAATATATCCGTGCTACTTATGACTGGTTTTGTGGTCCAGGGTCAAATATATTAGAGCTTCACGATTCTGGATTTCGGTAGTGACAATTTTAGATACTTTTGAACCTAGGTCAAAGATGCTAATCAGCACATGGTTAGGTAGCACAGTTCTGAACAGTTGTACGCATATAAAAACTAAATGTTATGGAATAACTCCCCAAAAAGTGTGCTTAATTGCAGAAAAAAGTGTTCGGTAGTGACGTTCCTTAAAGTTACACACAGATTTCTCCGAATTTTGAACACATTTACCTCAAAATGATGGGGCCTTTCTATTCACCATGTAGTTATGAGAGAGAGAGGGGGACTCAGGAATATTTGGGTTCGGGAAAGCCACCTCCCAATTGAAAGTACCCAATAAATGATTATTTTATTATATATATTAAGCTTACTAATATTGTAAATATTATTGTGGGTTTCAATAGATAATAGAAGGATCTTAATAAACATCTAAGATTTGAATAATTAAATGCTTTTTAAATGTGTTTTTTGGTTGTGGGACAGCAGTGATTATTTTATTATATATATTAAGCTTACTAATATTGTAAATATTATTGTGGGTTTCAATAGATAATAGAAGGATCTTAATAAACATCTAAGATTTGAATAATTAAATGCTTTTTAAATGTGTTTTTTGGTTGTGGGACAGCAGTTTGCACCAATTCTGTAGAATGGCCCATGTGTGTGTGTGTGTGCGTGTGTGCGTGTGTGTGTGCGTGTGTATTAGTTTAACACACACACACACACACACATTGTATTAGAATTGTATATTAGTTTAATTACTTTAACAAAGCAAATGAGTATAAACAGCATAAACAACAATAATAACAAAATAGGGCTTACATAGGCAAAATATAGGGGGGAAAGGTTCAAATATTTGTTATGGGGAGAACTTTACATAAGAGTTCATTGTGCAGACTTAAGGAAATACAAAAAGTGCTGCCACATAGTTTGAAATGTACAATATGAGTTGGGCTCAAAAGAACATGTACCCTCCATTCATATAATATGAAGCATATCATTCAAAGTTCGATTGAGTATCAGAATACCACAAAATCGCCAGCCCATGATCAAGCTTATTTGTTAGATAATTTTTTAATAAAATATTGTTTTTATTATTTTTTAAATTTTTTATTATTTAGATAAAATACAAACTTTATTTATAAATTCACAGCTTTAAAAAAATACCAATATTATATCAGCCATCAGCTATTCTTTGCCTTCTAGTTAATGCCATCGTTGGCATCAACAATTGAAACGCCATATCCAGTTGACCAGTAGAAAAAAGTTCTCACCTATCAGTCTTCATAGAAAGTTTTTAAAGTGTCTGGTATTTCTGTTGTGCTCTCATAGTGTCCCAGCCCTAAAAGGGTAAGATTACTCTCACTGAAGAAAAATGTAATTGTCTTGTGGAAACAATCTGGTCATCGATGAAAGTGAGCTTTCGGAGTGACTTGACCGGACCCCTCGTGTGCTGTGGGACCAGAATCTACTTTGAAGCTCCAAGCAGTCTGCGTCGCATCAGCAGTCTGTCTGGGAGTACAGACAGGGTCACCTGACCTCCTATCGATTTCATTCCAAGACTTCCTGCTGTGACATTCACAATCCACACCAGTTATCCTCAAATCAATCTCACAGAAAGATTGATGTAGTTTTGGAAATATTAATTGTCCTAAAAGTACAAGACTGTTTCACTTCAACCGTGAGGGGCAGATGGCTGTTGCCGCTCATACTTTCTGTCCTATTCTCTCTTTGTTGCTCTTCGGGGCTCTGACTTTCCCTTTGTCTCAACAGAGATGTTTTGTCATGACGTCAATTTGTAGAACGACGTTGTAGGAAATTGTATAAAGTGAGTCTAAAAATGTCATGTGGTGTAACCATCCATTACTAACATATTTTAAAATTAATAACATATTTTCCTTGAATCATCAAAGAATGTTTTTAAATATTTTTTTCAAGGTAAAAAGTGTATATTTTTTTATTTCCAAATATCATTTATCTATTAAACATGTTTAATATATGGAATAAATATAAATGTATATACTGAATCTAAAAATGGCATATAGCCTGACCCTCAAGAAAAAAATAATACCATATTTTCCTTGAATCGTTATTTTTAAGAATGTTTTTAAATATATTTTTTAATGTAAAAAGTTACATTTTTTACATATATATATTAAATATAAATTTATTTCATTTATAGAATTAATAGAATATTGTATATTGAATATAAAAATGTTATTTGGTGTAACCCTTAAGTAAAAAAATATACCACATTTTCCTTACATTTTGAATAATTATTTCAATAATTATAATTGAATAATGTTTACATGTAATTTTTTAAAATGTAAAACATATCTATATATTTTTTATATATAGATTTTACGTACTCCTTGAATTATTATTTTCAAGATTTTTTTAAAGAATTTATATTTTTATGAGAATTATTGACCTTGCATGTTGGTTTCACCATGTTTTATATCAAAATGATTCTTAATACAAAAATGAGAAATCTGCTCATTGTAGAAATTATGTATTCAAGCCCTTTATGTATTATTTTCATTTTTAACTTTTGAATAAATTAATAGACAAAAACATGGTTATGATGTAACTAAAGCCTAGCCATTAAAAAAATAAAAAAATAAAAAAATAAAATACAAAAAGAAAGAAAGAACCGTCTTGTCTAAGCTTCCTGTTTCAATAGAAAATATTGCAAGTGAAAATACTTATCAAGTGATTTCATGAGGTTTTAAAGCTATTTCTTGTTGAAGCACAGTCGTGTGCGACCGGTCTTGATTTATGGATAGTACATTAGGGGTTTTTAAATGAGAGGGCGATTCCTTGTCTGCCTCTCTCATCAGTCCTTCTCAAATGTGTGTACGTCAGATCTCTTCTGTCCTGAGCCAAAAGCCCATTTCACAGAATGACTCATCACTTCTGTCATTAACCTGTGAATGATACATACGCTCTAATCCCTTTTAGCCGCTACATCCTGCCTTAAGTACCTCATATAGTTCAACAGAGACATTTATCCACAGCTTCTGCTCTTAATCTTCCACATTACATCTCTCTCACTCTCTCCCTTTCATTTTCTGTTCTCATCTTCTTATCTTTTCGCATTCAGTTTTCAGCATCTATCTATCTATCTAACTGTCTATCTGTCTGTGTCTATCTATCCCTTTTTGTTTTTTTATTTTAATTTTCATTAAAAAAAAATGTAAATGCAAATGTAGGATCACTTTGGGGTCAATTTTTGTCACCAAAACTATTGGTAAGTACATAAACATGAACACACAAACAGAGAGAGTAGGGATGGGAAATGTATGAAATAATAATTGACAATTTTTGTAACAAAAAAATAAATAATAATAAAATAAAAATAAATAAATAAATCCATCAATCAACCAATTAATCAATCAATCATAACTGTTAATATTGTCATGTTTAAGGAACTTTTTAATTGGCCATTAAGGTCCCTAAAGACTGTGTCATTAAACAGGAAAAGAAAATTAATCAAGAAAAAAGAAATCATCAGTGTTGATCAGAAAATCATCAGAAATCATCAGGCATCAGTGGTGTTTTTGGAGTCTTCTGGGAGATGGCAGTCTTGCGTTCAGCTGTCCATATCTGCTAAAAGCCAAGGAGCGTAAATGGACACAAAGAGAGGCTATCTGGACCGATGGTTTGATAATTGTGTTTATAGAGTTGGCAAGCTGAACTTGACCAAGTGTCCAAGCTCAAACGGAGGTAAAGTCCATCCAGGCAGAGACAGCAGCTGTCCCTCATCCGCAGCCTGTTTAAATGAAGCGATGGAGCCATCAGTGGCTCGCAGACGCCGTTCTGAGCAATCACAAGCAGCCATTGTGTTACAGCAAGAGAAAGAGAGTAGTGCCAACACTGGAAGATGGTGGGTTTTATATTGAAAAAATCTGAATTTCTTATTGAAGCACTAAACGCAGTGGTCTTGGTATTCAAACTCAAGAACACTTTACTTACAAAAGTAATTTTGTCATTATATGTTGAGAAGGGGTCAAGGTATTGGCTGGTCAGCATGGTACACGTACATGACAAAAAACAAACAAAAAAAACACCATAAAAGGAGTTCATAAGTGGAGCACTATATTCCAGAGTTTTATTTTTGTGTGAATTATAGCTTTAAAAGGTTAGTTCACCCAAAAATTAAAATTCTGTCATTAATTACTCACCCTCGTGTTGTTCCAAACCCGTAAGGCCTTCGTTCATCTTCGGAACACAATTTAAGATATTTTTGATGAAATCAGAGGGCTCTCTGACCCACTTTGGATGCGCGTTCATTCCTTTGACCTCATGATTCTCATTTGCTCTGACATGCACTGTGAGCTGTAAGGTCTTATATAGACAGTTGTGTGGCTTTCCTAATCAAGTCCAATCGGTATAATCAAACACAGCTGGACTCAAATTAAGGTGTAGAACCATCTCAAGGATGATCAGAAGAAATGGACAGCGCCTGAGTTAAATATATGAGTGTCACTGCAAAGGGTCTGAATACTTAGGACCGTGTGATATTTCAGTTTTTCTTTTTTTAATAAATCTGCAAAAATGTCAACAATTCTGTGTTTTTCTGTCAATATGGGGTGCTGTGTGTACATTAATGAGGAAAAAAAATTAACGTAAATGATTTTAGCAAATGGCTGCAATATAACAAAGAGTGAAAAATGTAAGGGGGTCTGAATACTTTCCGTACCCACTGTATGTGCAAGCTAGAATCAAGGTTACCTGTTCACACTCACACCTGATTAGTTCTGAGTCTTTCTTTTTTTCTTTGTTTTTAATTCCAAGTAGCTCGTTTTACACTAATTGTAGGCTCAGTCTCTCTGGTGTAACCTTTGAGTTAAGTACTTAGCTCAAGGACTGTGGGAATTAAAGTAATTTCCAGGTCACAGGTCGCCCTATTTGGGATTGAACTACCTTCAATGCAGCGGTTGACACTTTGGGTCAGGGTTTCGTTTGTTAGCCTCTGCTGGTAGAAGCCGTAACTGCACCATCTGACAGCAAAACACATCTTTCTCCACTGACAGCCAATTATTGATAGCCTTATATTCTGACATTCAATCATAAAATTGTAAATATTTAATTGGTTTACCAGTTCCCTTTTTGGAGGCTCTTGGACTGCATGATATAGCCTATATTGAAATAAAATAATATTGCTATGCGGGTTAGTGTGATTGTCGAATCACACAGACTCCAATTTATTTAAATATGTTTTATCTGTTCTTAAAGCGCGGCATTTACACATGTAGTTCATGATACAGTGCTTCAGCGTCTGAGAATGGCTTGGTTCGTTTAACTGTGAATCGAGCCGTTCTGAGACACTGATAATATGCTGAATGCGTGGACATGAACACAGAGCCAAGCTTCATTCTAAAACCAGCAGTGCTTTTTTTTAAACAGAAATATGTTCTGTTTATATATTTATATATTCATGCATGTGTGTGTGTATTTATATATACATAATAAATACACACAGTACACACATATTCTGTAAACAAAAACTTTTTGTAAAAAAAAATATTTTATTTCTTGATATTTTTTATTTGATACTTTTTATTTTACAGTATTACAATATGTTTCATATTTTGTTTAATATTTTTATTTAGTAATATGACAATAATTCCAGTATTATAATCAGTAATCACAATAAAATTATGACAATTAATATTATTATTATTTTATCGTCATGTTGAATTGGTCAAAAACAGTGGGAATGTGGCCTGTGAAAACTCAAGTGGAAGATAGATATTATATCTATATCTAGCTATTATAGATAGTAATCTGGTGAAAATTCCTGTATTTTTTCATATCAAAATATTAATTCATTAATTGATTAATCTTTTTATTCATCCCCACATTGTGCAGCCCTAACCTATACTATGTTATGCATTGTCATTTGGTGCAATGGCGATCCTGCGCGCAATTCTCAAAACATCCACAAGATGGCGGCGTTTATCGGTGAATCCGATATTACAAAACCGATATCCGATTATTGTAAAATGCTTAAATATCGGGAAAAATATCGGTAAATCGATATATCGGTCGATCTCTAGTCATTATATCATTATCCTGCTGCTCCAGACCGATTATTCACATGGTATTTTCAGCTGATTTCTTGGATGCCAAGAAGTGTAAAAGTATGTAGCCTGAAATATATTGAATTTTCATTTTACATTAAACTTTACCGCCTGAAGCCTATCAGCAGCACCTAAAAGCCTTTAAGTGCTCTGTTTGTTGTGGATAAATTATTGCACATGGATATTTCATACCTTTTAGGTGACCAAAAGTGGAGGAAGGTCTTTCTTAACTGTTCCATATTGATTTAAATTCAAAGAATAAAGTCCATTGTTCATTCTGCATTCTTATTAAATACTGAATCATTTATATAAGTAGCTGTGGCAACAAATCAATGCTAACAGCATTTACTTAACAGCATTTTTATTGACCCTCATGAATCAAGTTATTATTATAAGTCTGAACTTTAACCAGCAAATGCAAATGGATTAATAATTCTATTTTTCTTCTCCAGCTCAGTCCTTCAAAGAGTTTTCCCAGTTGCTGAACACCATGGAAGAGGAGAGAAGGCGGCTGGTAAGTACTTTTTTTTTTTTTTTGGTTCTGATACCATAGCAATACAACATTGTTTTCCCCGCCATCATTGCTTTCTTGGGTAGGTACTGTACCATTGAAATTCCAATGGCATTAAACCTATGACAAAGCACCAGGATTTGTGTTGTTTTTGACATATACTATGGCAATACCATGATTTTTTTTTTCTAGTAAACATGCTTTATCCAGGAAATGTACTACCATGGTATTCTTGTAAGTACTTTGGATGGCCATGATACATGAATTTGGTAATCATGCAGTACCATATTATCAATAATGATAATAAATAGAAAAAAGGAGTATTTGTATGCAAAAGCCACTTGGTATTTTGTTAGAATTCAAAGCAAACAAAATTCCACAATTGTAACTTAAGTATTCAAATAGATTTTGAGGCCACTGTATATCAACATACCATACCATGATCATCTGATTATTAGGTACTCCACCATGGTACCACAGTGATTTTTTTAAGGGACTATCCCTATCAAAAAAAAACACTGTTGTGGTACCCTGCTAATATTGAGAGGTTTGAAGAAAGTGTTGTTGTTGTTGTTTCCGTTATCAAATTAACACCCCATAAAATCCTCATGATTAGCTGAGCTGATAATGAGAAAGCACGTAAACAAACAAAGCCTGCTTTTCCCCTCTGATTGGTAAAACAGCAAGACTGAGCAAGAATGAATCTCTCAGATAAATAATGTTTAATCACCCTGTTGGGGTTTTATTTTGTGGTAATGACCAGTTAACTGTGCGTTATCTTGCTTTGACACGGCTACTTTACCAAATAAAAAATGCTATTTTGTAAGAAAAAACAGACCAGTACAGGAAATCAAACAGTCAATTATACAGTTGGTCATTATACAAGAGGGATTAAACAGAATAAAGTGGCCCAAGAGCTGTGTAATTTTAATCAGGGTACTAAAGTAGACAAGTACACTTTGAAGATTACTGTAGCATGTTTTACAAGAAAACACTATTTCAGTCTTTCTGCTTCAAAATTTCACCTTTAGTTCAATGTGCTACTTGCCATTTCTTTGTAATTGTTTGAGAAATTTACTAGCAATTTATGAGTGCAAATTGTTTCTGCAACAATTTTTCAGTGTAGATCATGGCAAGGATCATGGTAAAACCAGCCACAAACCATAACCACGTTGCACACTAGACTTGGTCGTACATTGTGTCTGGTTTCTTCGGGTGTGTGTGTGTGTGTGTGTCAGAGCAGACGTTTCAGTGACATCCAGAAGAGACGGTATGGTTAACATGTTTGACGTGTGTGGTCACTCGTCACGACTTGCAGTGACATTCGGCGGATATCACGTACAGTTCCAGTAATATGATGTACAGTTCTGGGAATATGAACCCTTACGCTGTAGTTTGACACCAAAGGCTCAGTAGTTTGCATGAAGTCATCGGTGCGGGCAGCCCTAGGGCCTTATTTTCTTCTCATTGCGTCATTATTGTCCTTCCTGTTAAATTAAATGTTAACACAGCAAACACTTCCAGCAATATGCAGCCTCATTTAGACAAATGTCCTTAAAACCTAACCACAAAGACGTGCGAATAATCCAAAATGCTTAATAGCTCACTTAAATGGTGCTTTAATGATGTGTGTGATTATCACACAGTTACCAGCTGCTCATTTAAACGTTTAAACTACCTAACTAAATGGCAAGAATAATACATCAGGGATGCATGCAGTCTGTAGCAACATTTGGTTTCAGACAAATGTAGCGTCTGGACCACTCAAACACACAATATATATTTTGTACTCAGAATCTGGTGTTTCTCTCAGGTGTAAATCTGCTGAATATGCAAATGGTTCTATAACTTCATATTCCTTATTTCTCTTCTCTTTACTGCGTTAAGCTTTTAACCCTTTCCTATACCAACTGTATGTGTGTGTGTGTGTGTGTGTTTATGTGTATGTTAGACCAGTTTAAGTGTGTATTTGTATGTTAGACCAGTTTAAGTGTTTGTGTATGTTAGACTAGTTTAAGTGTTTATGTAGTTAATAAAACCTTACTTGTGTCACACTTGACGTTGTTCATTGTTTGCTCATAACTGGAGTCCCTAATCATGCAGATTTATGCTACAAGCTCTGTGTAGAGTTGTACAGTAAGAAAGTTATTTCCCTTAACCAGGAAATTAACGTTCTTAGAATTGACAAGACAGTTGACCCTGAGAGGTCAAGTAAATATCTACAGCGGATCTAAAATATTCATAATTAATTATAACTAGTTATGATTAATTATTCATATTTCCCATGAGCTGATTCGTTACACAAATACAAAATCAGGCCATCCGTTTTTAAATTAGTCGAGTTGTGCTGTAGCGCCACCTTTCATTCTATATCTTCCTACCTGTGGCGCGTCGCTAGCGATTCTGGACCCATTGTACAGATTTTCTATGGAGTCTCAGTCGGGCCCCCCAAAGGATATTGTTGGACACTGACGCCCCTGCTTCCTACCAAGACCAGATAGACAGCAACATTACCTTTTGAAGATACTTTGTTTTGTCTAAATTCTATAGATGTGGTCACATTAGCACATTTTTGTGGGCAAAAAGGTCCATCAATTCATGTGACCAACTTGAACTCGATGCAAAATCTGTGTGGGTGAACCTTTGCCCTCATGTGAAATTCCCAGTTGTGGGGATTTCTTTTGACATGAGAAATGAGAAACAAATGTTGTTCCATCTCTCATTCTTCCTTTACCTACCAAGACCACATAAGGTAGATAAGTGCACTCACAACTCAAAGCATGCTCCAAAAAATAAACAGCAAAATCATGATACCTCTTAAAAAACCTCATTACATTCATGAGATTTTGGCGGAATTTTGCAACCAAAATGGTTCATCGCCTACTGTCAATAGTATAGCAATGTAGGAAGCACAGCTCACACAGAAATCACTTTCAAACCAGGCAGCTTTCTGAGTGCAGCGTTTCCACATAACCTGCTTGAACCCATTGCGAAATCTGCATGAGGAAATCTTTTGTCCTCACGTGAAATTGCCAATCACATGAATTCCATTTGAAATTACTAGATTTTGCTAAAACTGAAACGCAAGTTGCAAGTGCAACTTCCGTTTTCTTCCCTATTGCGACATCAGAGTAAAACTGAGGCCCTGTCCACACGAACGCGGTTATTTTTAAAACCGCAGCTTTTTCTACGTAGTTAGGCCGTTCGTCCACACGCAAACGCAGCACCAGTTCACGGAAAATGTTGATTTTGTCAACTGGGAATTGATTGGATTATTGAATTGTGATTTGCTAATTGGTACGATCTCATGTGAGTAGTTTCTGGAGGGGAAGCCATATTGCCCAGCCCGGTGCACACATCACCAGAGAAGAGATGTCGTTGTGAGCGGGAAGGAAAGGCAATCCCAGAATGCATCAAGATGAAAAATGTCCTTAGAAATTATAATTGTACTTTCTTTCAGTGCCAATGTAAACACTGATAATAGCTCAATCTAATTTAAAATGGACTATTTAGAGCTAACTAGAATATTGTGTTGTTAGCTTAGCAACATGCTAAATTCAAGTTTTGAAATCAATTGAGTTGATTCATACACTTCGCATAAGAAATCATATCTTTTTGCTTTTGAACAGTGTTCTAATCTGTCACTTAAGAGATTATATAACAGTTAGGATGTTGCCTTGGTAGACAGCATGGAAGCCCACTATGGTTTGAAACAGAGTTTATGTATGTGTGTTTGTAAGTGATCCCAACTGGGAGCATTAATGTTTGGTTCCTGTGAAATGTTTGAAGTCAGAAGATAAAGGAAGTTTGATAAAATGACTAATGATTTGTTTTCGTGACCTATATATAGATTGTTTTTCCAGAAGTGCATCTCTGTCTCGAATGACGCTCTGAGGTTCATTCGTATACTGCGACCCCTGCTCTCTGATCTCCATATATGCGGGGAAAAGCAAAGTCTGTTTCATTTCAGACAGTGAGTAATAGGGTGAATATCATTAAAAAATGACCTTTAAAATATACATTTCATTACTTTACTCCTAAATGTATAATTTATGGATTTATGGCTGGAATAAACTCATTTGTGCGGTCTCACACAGTCAGACACATTAGTTTTATTGAGAACAAAACACTTTTGAGGATAGCAGCCTCAGTGGATTTGATTTCATTTTCCTCTCCTTCATCTTAAACATCGAATCTCTTTTTAGCAGTCTTCATGCATAGTTTGCCGCAAAGAAGAAACTCAGAAGATTTAGTTGGGAGGAAGCCCACAGGACAGAAAATATCTCAAATGAGATATCTTTATTATCTTTATCCTAGACAGCAATGAGGTTAAATGGAGATCAAATGGGGAGGTTTAAAGGTACAGTCACACAAAAGCATGTGAAATGATTTGGGACCCTGCAAAAACAAATACGTGACTCAGGATATGTTATGCTTTAGGATGTTTTGATAAATATATATATATATATATATATATATATATACAGTATATATATTAAGTTTTGAAGTTTATATTCTTAATATTGAAGATATATTTAGATCTCTTGGTTAAACATCTATTATAATCTTATTTTGCGCCAAAACCTTTGTGAGTTGCTGCCTAGGTTGAGCATTGCAAATCTTTTTGAGGTTACATTTCAGTTAGGATGCTGATGTTGAAGGCAGCTGTACGTAGGCGGTAGACAGCCAGGCTAGGTTTTGAAACAGAGCCATTATCTTTGTTTACGTTGTGCGGCTCGCTGCTCCTGTCCATTCTTTGTTTTCGGCGATTGACTTCGCTCACCGCTTAAGCAGACATCCCGTAATCCAGGGCCAGCCGTAGTTAATGAGAAACCACATGGAATGTAGCTAGAAGTCAATGAAACTTTCCACTTTATTCACATTCTTTTTCATGCTGTCTGCAGCTTAGTGTTTCATCACCTTGGCCTGCAAGACGGCCTTTTTAATAGGACGCAATGGCTGCTGTGCGCTTTTTTGGAGGATATTTTTGTGATTAAAGCACA